CCTGGTGCTTCATCAGCACCGGGCACAACCAGCGCACTGGGAGCCTCTTCTTCGCCTCCACTTTCGCCATCCTGGGGCTCCTCTCCCTGGTGGTGACGGTGGCCTGCAACCTGGCCACCATCGAGGCCTTGGTGTCTCGCTGTCGGACCAAAGCGACTCCACCGCGCTCCAACAAGCAGTGGGGGCGAATTGCCATGGAGACACTGATCCAGCTCTTGGGGATCATGTGTGTCCTCTCAGCCTGCTGGTCACCGCTGCTGGTAGGTCACCGTGCCGCTCGCCGTGGGCTGACCCCAGGCCCCCTCCCTCCCCGGGGCAGGAGGCAGCGGGGCTCCGAGAGTGCCAGCCTGGGCAGGGTGGGAGGCACCAGGTTCAGGGGGACAGCGTGGCCGTGAGCAGCCTCTGAGGAGAGAAAGTGGGGACGGGGACAGAGCGTGGGGGGTGCCGGGTGTGGAAGGCTGGTAGGAGAGAAGCTGGGAGAGATCCAAGAGGATAGCCAAAGCGCAGCGTGTTTGGAATAAATTAAGGCGAAGGAACTGGAGTCAAGAGGGAGGGACCTTGAGGAAAACAAGAGGAGAAAGGCAGGATGCGAGGAGACCGTGGGTCTGGGAGCAGGACACCGAAGCCAGCAGCGCTCGTGGCACGGAGCCGCAGGCGCCAGGCGGAGAGCGGGCACGTTCGGAGGGGAGGGGAGCGGTGGCGGCAGCGGCGTGGCACGCGCGGTGCTCCCGCTGGTACAGGCTGACCGGCACTCTTCACCCACCTGCCAGCACCATGGCATCAAGGTGACAGGACACGGGGAACCAGAACCTGCTTGTTCCTCATGCAGGGGAGCCCTGGTGGAAGTTTATCGAGACCTCACTGTGATGGAGCCCTGTGCCCATGGAAAGAGCCGTTCACTGGTTTTTATGTGCTCCTACCTTGTAGCAAAACCTGCCCGAGTGCTTGATGAGAAAAGGTCCCACCTGTGACTTTGCGAGTGCCCTCTGGTTTTCAGCAGATCGCTCGCTGGGTCTTATTTATGGCAGCATTCTGGGCGGTTTGTTTCTGTTTTTTTAGAAGATCCCTGCATTTCTTTCCTCTGTTTTGTTATTCCTCACTTAGACCCTTTCTCCCTTGTCAAACCAGGGTAAATCCCTCCTCATGGTTTAGGAGTGGAGGAGGCTGAATCCTACGGGATGAGGGCACACCCAGGAGTCCGGCACCCCGTATAAAAAGTCCAGCTTTTCTGCTCTCAGAGGACAGCATGATTTTGGGGAAGTTTGTGCCTGGGATCCGTGAGCAGGAAAGGGCTGAAGCTGGCTGGGGTCATTTTGAAGTTATGTGAAAGGTACTTTGTGGCCTGAGAAGGATTTTTCCTCCTTCCTGTGCACAGAGAACTTGAGCTCTCGTTAGTGGGGCTGTGATGAGAAGTGGCTGACAAAGCTAACGGCCAGTGGCGACGAGGTGAAAACAGAAAACAATTCATTTAGTAATGTTATCCTTGTAAATTGATTAAATTTCTGTCAAATCTCCAAAATAACCCCACCCCAAAAAAGCTCAGGGGCTGTAACGTCCTAGAGATCATTAACAGCTCGTGACGACAGTATGATATGAAACCAGACTGAAAATTTGGCGAGAGCTTGAGAGCGAAGGGTGGTGTTCTGCTCCTGTCGGACCAGGTTTGATCAGTTAACAGGAGGCTGCTGCCCTGTCGCCGTGTCCGTGTGTCCGTGCTGGTCGCCTGCTGCCCAGTCCGGCCGTTGCCGATGCTGCGGCACATCCCGTGGTCCCGCCGACGTGTGCGGTCAAGTCCCAAGGGAGAGCAGTAGGATTTCTTTATTTTACAGAGGTTAACTGTTGTGTGCTTGCCCGGGATTAAAAAGATGAAAAAACTAGAAGGTAGTTACTAACAGAAGGAAGAGCACTTGCATCTCGGTCCTTGTTTTTGTAGTCTTTTGGGAAGTGGGTTCTGCCCCCTGCTCCGCAGCCCAGCCCTCGCCCAGCCCAGGGCCGTGGAGCTGTGGCACCCGAGGGTTCGTACCAGCCTGGCAGCAGCGAGGGAAAACGTCTGAGACGAGGGATGCTTTTTCCCTTCCTCCAGAACCTGAGTACTCAGAAAAATCGGTGATGATGCAGGGATTCCTTTCCGTGGTTTGCTTCCAACGTGGTGTTTTTGCAGATTTAACAGTCAGGAGCTGCCCCCGCGGTGCTGAATGGACCTGTGGGAAGTGTTAATGGGATGAGTTAATGGAGCAGAGCCCAGGCCAGGGAGCTTGTTGGAAACAACGTGGACACCTCCAGAAAACACTCTGGGAGCTGGTACGAGAGAGCAGGGATTCTGGGAGGCTTGGCCACGGAGGAGGTGCTGGTTGGCAAGGCTTTGCGTGCGTTTTACGACCATCTGGAGGGCTGATGCCCCACAGCTGGCACAGCCGTTGGCCAGAACCAGTTTGGCAGCAGTTCCCTTCCCCGGGCGGCAGCAGCACTGGACAGCATGTAACTTGTTCTGCGGAGTTCTGCAGAACTTCTCCGTCTGGTCAGCCCGTTCTCCAGGCTTCGCGTCCTCCAAACCAAGAGTCATGACTACGGAAGGAGTTTTATACATACACTTCAACAGTTGCTGTGCAACTACGAAATACAAATTAGGAATAAGAGGCCAGATTTTTGGAAGAGTGATCACGGAGTAATGCAAGTGCATTTTCGGGGAAAGCCAGATCGAAGAACTCATTAAACGTAGAGCTGCATCATTTAGCAGTTTTAAGAAATCTAGCTGAAACCCGAATCCAGGGATTTTCAGAGGAGATTTTTGTTGGGTTTTGTTTTGTTGGTTTTTTTTTAAATAAATCTGAGTTTTATAACTGAGAACTAACAGATTCTGGCAACTATTACTATTAGGTAAACAATGTGCTTTTACACAGACAGTATTTTTAGACTTGATCTGTTGATGAAAATGACGAAACTTCTGACGATGGTGGCTGTGCTCTAAGCGGCTCGAGGAAGCATCCTGCCTTTCCATCGTTTGTGCTGGGTTGGGTGGAAAAGAGGCATATGGAGCACAGGCATCGTCTCCTTTCGTTGTGCACTTGGGGTGGAGAACCTGGGAAAACGCTCCCCTGAAATAAGATAACTGCTTTATTGTGAACTGGTTTCCAGTTCTTGCCAATCTTCCATCGATTTTGGTGCTCCGCTGTGGAGCGCGACCGTTGGACTGGACTGAAGTGAGTCTGAGGTGACATCGAGGAGCCTGTTCCTTGATTGCACAGACACACCAGTGCAGCACAAACTGGAATTCTCATAATAATTCTTTTAGAGCTCCGTGCTGCAAAACTGTTCCCTCGCAGAGTTGTTTCAAGGCTGTTTAAAGCCAAAAGGCTCAGGTATTCTGCTGCTTTTTCTATTAAAATACTTCTCCTTAACCCTCCCGTCAGACAGAAATCAAATGCATTCTCTTTTACAGCTATTTTCATTAAAAATGTATTCTTTTGTAGTACTTTTAGATGTGCAAAACATAGTTATGGAAAGCACCTTCACTCAGAGAGGGGAAAAAAGACAGTGGGGTATCCCTGAGCTGCAAGGACAAGAGGCGGCTCCTTTCCTATGAGTGAGGGACTCTTCCCACTAACGCTCCGCTTCCATCTGAGGCTGACATGGCCACCTGTTTGGAAACAGCCCCAGCGTGCTGAGCGTTTCCATGTGGCCAAAAGACTCTATTTGTCTAGATAAGGTCACACCTGAGGGGTGAAAATTAGACCAGGTTTGTTGGGATCCCACTAGGCTTTGGTGGTTGTCACCTTTCTGTAAACGTGTTCTTGTTGAGATCCTCAGCCTTCTCCAGTAATTCTCCGAGAGGATTGCAAATGATTTCACTGTCGTATTTTCCTCAGAAACAGAGAAGTGGTTTGCTTAGGGCTGCTCTGCTGTGAGTGTCCCAGGGGGTGGCAGGTGCTGGCCGCGGCGTGGCCTCGATGCGGAGACGCTGTTCATCCCGTGACATTCCGATGTGTCCGTGGTCCGTGCACACCAGGAGGTGTTGCCTTGCCCTGCTGCAAGAAGGTTGCTGATAAAGATGAATTGTCAGGTGCCGTGTAACACTGGTCATTCCTGGATTACTGCCAGTCTGGTGGATGCGCAGCTGCAGTGAGGGGGTGAGCCAAGGTTAAGGTGGTGCCAGACATGCCCCTCTAGTCTACTTGGCTGGGCTTGTCGTGGCTTTGCCTGCAACAGGCAGGATTTCTGCTTTAAAAAAGGAATCCACGTCCATGCCAGGCAATGGGAAGATCTCCTTTGGAGGTCCACAAGCAGAGTCTCTCATAGGGACTGCTCGAAGTGAAGTCTTTCATTCTGCCCCAGCTTCTCCAGAAGGGTCCTACAAATTTGATGGGACAAAATTACGATTTTGATTTGAAAACAAGATGGTACATGACTATAGGTATAGTTAGTCATCACAAGGAAAAATCATATGCTCTCCTTTGTGGCCTTCCATGGTTCACTCACCACAGCCACTATTTGTGTTTCATCAGGAGAATCCTCCGTTCCTTCTATGGTTTTTATTTAAGCAACACATTAGGGCTAATGGGAGAGGAGACATAGTGTAAGAGGATGAATCCTCCTGCCTTTATGATGCGTAGAAATCCCATTTGGGTTTTTGGAAGCTATCTCAAGAAAAGATTTTGCAGTTTGGGACCGGGAATTTCATGCCAGATTCTTAACGCACGTTCCAGACCTGCCACCCAGCTCTTGCTTGGCTGAAAAATAAGCACCTTTAAGCACAGCAACTGTTTTATCCTCCGTATTTACTGCATGATAAACAGCCTCTAATGATATCAAACAAACAAAATTTCCAGTAGAGCAATTGTCAGTCCAACAGATATTCCAGTAAAGGAGTATTATGTAATAAAACCCAAAATAAGCAGCAGCCATCTCCTTGGGAAATGTATTTTATTAGCCTAATATTTTTGTAGCTCTGTGAGTTCGCTGACAAAAGAACAGTGCTGCACAACAGGGGTCCTTGCAGAGTTCCCAAAGGAAGAGCTGATCTGGGAGAAAGTAATCCAAGTACTGGGAATGGCACATGCAGTGTGGTTTCCGTTGGCTGTAACATGGGCATGTGGCTGCTCTTCATGGCATGGTAATGGTGCCGTCGCTGCCAGGAGGTGGGTTGTGCTGGGCTCCGGCAGGCACAGGAGATGGGTCATGCTGGGCTCGGGCAGGTCGTGCTGGGCTCCAGTGGGTACAGGAGGCAGGTCGTGCTGGGCTCCAGTGGGTGCAGGAGGCAGGTTGTGCTGGGCTCCAGTGGGTGCAGGAGGCGGCTTATGCTGGGCTCCAGCGGGTTGCGCTGGGCTCCCGTGGGGGCAGGCAGGGGGTCGTGCTGGTGCAGGTTGCGCTGGGCTCCAGTGGGTGCAGGAGGTGGCTCATGCTGGGCTCCAGCGGGTTGCGCTGGGCTCCGGTGGGTGCAGGAGGTGGGTCATGCTGGACTCTGGCGGGCACAGGAGATGGGTCATGCTGGGCTCCAGCGGGTGCAAAAGGTGGGTCATGCTGGGCTCCGGTGGGTTGTGCTGGGCTCCGGCAGGCGCAGGCGGCAGATGCTGCAGGCAGTATGGGCCGAGCTGAGACAGTGACAGTGACAGTGACCTACAGAGCTGGCGGTGGCAGAGGAAGTGGCAGGACTGTGGTTGTGTGGGGCTGGGGCACAAGTGGCTGCTTGATGTGGTCTGGATCTGGTTCTGTAGTTTTGAAAAGCTCTACCGATGGTTCCTTATTTTCATTTTTATTTAAATTAAACGCAGTAGATGGAATCCTCAACTGCTTCTATTTAAAGAAACAAAAACAATTCTACTTTGCTGTCCGAGCTGCTCTGCCTTCCGGACTCATCGAAGTCTTTCCAAGGTCAACACACGGTTATTGATCTGGCACCCAGAATATCCCTTTGAATGGAAAAATCCTCCCCCGCAGCCTCCGCTCCTGGTCGCTCGTGCTCTGGCTGCCCCAGTTTGTGGGACAGCAGCGATCCAGATGTGACCTTTCTGGGTGACGCTCTGCTCCGAGGACAGCCTTCCGTGGGAGAACCTTGGCTGGGATCACCAGCTGCGGATTGTCTTGGTTCTTTCCAAAGGAAAGGGAACTACAAAAAGACTACTTCCCTTTCCAAAGCCAAGGAGTTGGACAGGGCTGGGAATAACTGGCTGCGAGTCTGGTCCCTGGGGCTGTTCCCTGCGTTCTCAGGACTGGGTGCCCGTTGATTTAGGGCACGGTACCACTGACCTTTGCAAAGACAGTGGATTAGCTGTGCGTCGGGGCCATCGCGCGCAGGTGTCCGTCACCTCCTGGCACGCGGTGCCCAGCGGGAAGGAAGAGCCTTGGCATACGTTAGGAAGCATGCCCCATCCTCATACCAGCTCTGCCTTTTTCCTTGCTCCCAGAGCTCCCTCGTGCACCGCAGCCCACTGTAAGAGCACAGATGTTTTCCCGGATGCACACAGCACTTGGCAGCAGGTTGCACGGCAAGTGCCTGCTCAGAAGATGTTTTGATCCCTGTGGTTACGGGATACTGAAAAAAATACTGGGATGCAAAAACTCGTGTGGCTTATCTGTAGAGAAGCAACTGAAAGTCTGTAAAACAATATATTTTTAAGCAGCCGTGGTTGGTACAGAAAGCTCAGGAGAAAATTTTAGACAACAGATACCAGCTAAACAATGGAAAATTGTATCTGACATCTTTCAAAATGTGATTCATGCTTCCTGTGGCGATATGTTAGGCTATGAGAGCATCACACCACCAGCTCTGGGGAGCTCTCTCAGCAGCTTTAAAAAAAAAAAAAAAAAACAACCCACAAAGTAAAAAACCTTCTCACTGTTTTTACCTGAATAAGCAGCAGCCCGATAACAAAGCCAGTGCTGCGGGGCTGGGGCACTGCACCGTGATCCCGAGCTGGATTCTTCCCCGGTCACAGGTTTTCTATGTGGCCCTCAGCAGTGGCACCTTTCTCGCCTGTGACCTGAGAGAAAAGGTGTCCTTGTGTTTCCAGGCCGGTGGCATTGATAGAATCATAGAATGGTCAGGGCTGGAAGGGACCTTCAAAGGTCATCTAGTCCAACCCCCCTGCAAGGAACAGGGATATCTCCAACTAGATCAGGTTGCTCAGGGCCTCGTCCAACCTGGCCTTGAATGTCTCCAGGGATGGAGCATCCACCACCTCTCTGGGCAACCTGTTCCAGTGTTCTACAATTCTCATGGTAAAAAATTTTTTCCTAATATCCAACCTGAATCTACCTCAACTGTAAAGCAAGTTCATGTCTTCGTTTGGAAAATAAGGACGTACAAAGTGGTGTTATTTCAGTTGATTGGGTCAATTATTATTTCAGTTGGTAATTTCAGTTGATTTTAGTGCGGTTCATAAGTCTTTCAAAGATGGTAAGGCTTGTAGCATCCCGTAGGAAAAACGGCTCCTCCCTGCTGCCCATACCGTACCCGCAGCACGTGACTGTGCTGGCACTTTGAAATACGAGTGATAAAATGACCTAAACGTACAGATTTTGGGGAGAAAGTATTAATCAAAGCTGCCACTTCTTTGGCTTTTCTGAAGAAATGAGTGGCTATTGCTGATCGGTGCTTGTGTTCTGACATGTGCCATCCACGTCCCACCCGTGGCAGGGCCCCAGCAGCCCTGTGCCAGCGGGCTGTAAATCAGGGTGCTGCCATCCCTGGTGGCATTTCATCCCCACCAACAACCCACATGTGGCTTTTGGCTGCCAGGCTGGCACTGGCTGCTCTGTGCCAAGCACTGTGGGAGGCGTCTGCTACGGAAACCTCTGCTCGTGTGAAAGATTTTGCGCTGTAAATAGCGTCTCCCAGTCGTGCCAGTTCGGATGCTGTGGGAAACGGGTTCCTAAATGTATCCCTCTGTCCACTGGGGGGGCTGAACTGAGGGGGGAAAGGAGGAAAACACAGGTCAGGTTAACACAAAACGCAGGCTGTGGCTTTTGACAAAAAGATTTTATTTTTTTTTTCTGTTGACTTAAAATGATTTCTTGACTCCCAGCCCAAAACACTTTTACGAACCCTTTTCTTTTAATTTGGCTCAGTTCATAAGCAGAATAGGTTACCTCAAAACCAAATTCTAAAATTTAGAAGTCATAGAATAAAACAGCTTTAAAAAAACATGAAGACATTTTTGTATTTGAAATTCTTTTTTCTGACAGTTACTGTTCATAACATAATTTTGAAGAGCTCTACTCGCCAGGAGTTACTCAGCTGTTCCTTGTAATTGTGATAACAGGATAATGATAAAATGAGTCCCTTTAAGTCAATTTTGCAAGGCCAGTAATTTCCCTTTCTACCCAAGGCCGGCTTGAACCCCAGGATTTTGTGCAGGGCTTTCTGCGGTGTCTCACGCAGGGAAGCAGCGTGTGCTGCCTTGTTGTAGCATGAGATCTGTAAATAAATCCAACTGATAGCTGGAAACTATCATGTTTATAGAATCAGAGAATCACAGAATGGTTTGGGTTGGAAGAGACCTCAAAGATCATCCAGTTCCAGCCCCCCTGCCATGGGCAGGGACACCCTCCACTACACCAGGTTGCCCAAAGCCCCATCCAACCTGGCCTTGGACACCTCCAGGGCTGATTATCTCTCGTTTCACACACATGCACAAATTGAGCTGTTCTCTCACTGCTTGCTTCCTCCGATCACAGTTTGAGTTGAATGAGGGAGGGAAAAAAATTCTTGACAGGGATATTTGCATAGAGTGATGCACAGATAACAGTCTCTTACCACCCATCGCTTTTTCCTCCTGACTTTCCTTAGGTGACGATGCTGAAGATGATCTTCAGCCACACGTCGTTCGAACACTGCAAGGGATCCTCCGGCGAAGCCCGGAGCTCAGAACTGCACAAAGAATGCAAATTCTTCTTGACAGCTGTGCGCTTGGCCTCGCTCAACCAGATCCTGGATCCCTGGGTTTACCTGCTGCTCAGAAAGATCCTCCTCCAGAAGTTCTGTCAAGCAGCCAGCGCTGTCTCCAAGTGCTCTAACAACGAGTGGAAGGAGAGATCCATCACCTTGTCGGAGGAGATCCGACGGACAACAGCGTGAAGGAGCATCGATCCGCTTGCACGGAGACCACTTTTGCCAACGAGAGCTTTTAAACCTTACTGTGAATTGGGGTGTCTGTAACGTGTTAGCATCTGCATAAATAGCTGAAACCGGTACCATTGAGTGGACTTACCGTGCCAAATAGTGATTTATCCGATGTGCCAAAAAGTCTCAACTACGGGAGAAGGAATGGGGTTTGTTTCTGCGTTCTGTTGGTATTGCCGTTCGGAACCGAGCTGCAGAACGTGGTGGGTTTTGTGCCTGAAATAGAGTTTGGAGGGAATTTCCTTGTGTTCAGGTGGAAAAAATGGTTTTCCTATCAGGGGACACTTGAAACAGATTCAACAGGTTCAACATTCAACCTACTCCTATATCTATTTTAATGCTAAGATTGTCTATGTCAGAGAGTCCTTCTTCCTCCCTTTTTCTGGAGGGCCAAGGGGAGAAAAGGGCAAAAAAAATGCAAGAATGAAAGGAAGACAAAATTAGGAGACTTTGTTTGGATTTCAGTGGCTCGAAACGGAAAAGGTTGTGTTGTGCCAGTGATGGTGCATCACTCTCCTTGGAGAACTGAAGGCGGCACGAGTCTCGTGACACATGGATTGGTCCTGATGAAGTGCTCATCCTGCGTGGATGCTGAAGTCAGCTCATCTGCTGAGGGGGAGGTGGTGTTGAGAAAATAGCACAAGTGAGAAATCTGTGGGTTTTTTTTTTCTTTAAATAGCAGCCTGTGAAATGCCCAGGCACAACGAGAATGGCTGTTTGCAAAGCACACTATAAAACTACTTTGAGCAGATGGAGAGAGCGATAAACAGGTGGTAAGAGACGGCAAATGTTCTTCTTCCTGTAGATTAGTGGCAAAGGTTCAGGAAGCCAAACACACTGTTTTCTTGGGAGTTGTTTTGTTTGGAAATACACGCGTCCAGGAACAAAATGGACATCAAGCGATTTTTAAGTGATGGGGATGCCACTCAAAACTTCTTCGTTGCTAAAAAGTCCTACAAAGTGGGCAAAATAGTACCCAAAATACTTTATTTCTTCTTCCCTCCAAATAAGCAACTTTGAGAGATACGGCAGCTTTGGGAATTTTTCAGATAAAGCAGACTGGAAGAGGTGGGCAGAAGCGTGGGCTTTAGCCAGACCTTTCCCCCAGGTAACTGCCAGGGTTTGTTAGAGAACTGAGTTCTAATCGGTTCGTGTCACATCTGAGGTTTGTTTTCAAAAGGGCTACATTTTTCCCTCGTTTTCCTCACCCTTTTGTAGGCGACAGCCTCTCCTGTCTCCTGTTGGGTGGCCCCTTGGGCGCGATTAGATGCAAATACAATAAAATGCAATGATGTATCACGTCCACCATATACTGTGTGCCATATAGCATCGAATTCAGGGGCCTTATAGGCAAACGGGATCCTGCACTGCTCGGAATTTCTCGCAGAGAACCTTTATTTTTACTTCTGTTCCTTTGTTTACAGAAGTAACTACTCGGAGGAGACACTGGCTACTCGCTTTTCGTGTTCTGCTACCGCATTGTCCAATTCCTTGTTTTTGTATCAGTCTGACAAAAGTGATGGATCTGACAGCAGAAGCCATCGTCGACGTAAATCTGGTTTTATCTGGGCGGCGTTGGAGTGCAACCTAGAAGCTATTGTCTCCCCTTAATTCGGGAGCCAGCCCGCAACCACGGAGGCACGTGGTGCCAGGTACTGCCTGGTTTGTGTCAGTCTCGCCGCCGCCTGCGGTTTGATGCCCTAAATTCCTTTAATGCCCTAAATTCCTAATTCTTGCTCACCAAGCGGCGCTTTGGCGAAGACGGTGAAATAAAAATTTCACTTGTTCTCTTTGGAAAAGTGCCTTGCAGGATTTAAAAAAAAAAGCCACCACAATATTTTGGAACCTAAAAAGCCTGTTCTTCTGTCTAGAGGATTGGTATCGTGCAGTTTGTGTATGTTATCTTTCAAAACAAACAAACCAACCCAGTGGCTTGTGCAACGTGTCAGGATGACCTTAAGGAATAGGCTCAATCGTTCTTTGTCGGGACATTTCCGAGCAGCAGCACCTACGGAGGGTACAGCCGGCTCCGGGATCGCGAGCGGGATAGCGAGGGAGAAGTTCTGCCCGGGAGAGCGAATCGATCCCCCTTTGATCAGCTTTTCCGTAGTGGGGAGAGGAGGGTGCTGGTTTTCCCCATGCGCAGTCGCTGGTTTGTGTTTCGGTGGTGAGGAGCGAGCGGCTCCAACGCAGCGCTGCCTGACGTCGGCCGTGGGACGGGACCGTGCTCGGTCCGGCAGTGACTGCACGTCGTGACGCCGTCCCTTTTCGTGGTGGAACTGGACGCTCGCTTTTGTACTGGGAACAAGGCGGTTGTGTCCATCTTCGGGTGCAGTAAGACGAAGAAGCTGCTTCCAACACCAGAAAACGGGGCAGAATGCCGCTTTCCGTGTGTTTACAGAAAAGGAGTATCTGCAGCCGGGCACGGCTGGAGGAACGCACTTTCAAAACTGAATTCAAAGCCTTTAGTGGCAGTGAAAGCTTTTGTTTCCCATCTACTGGTTCGAGTGGTGTGTTTTTGTTGCATTTCTTTAAAGATGCCTTTTATGTGACATATTTAAATTCCACTGCAGTAGTGTTGCTAGTCCTGGTTTTAATATGTTGTACTTCTGTCAAAGATGTTATGGGAACTGTAGCGTATGGAAAAATGATTTTGAGATCATTGTTTGCCTTGAAAACCAGCTTGTTTGTGTACTGAACCGACGTGTGTCCTATCAGTCAGAATAAAAATTCAGCAGAACAACCAGGCTCTTGTTTCCTTGATTGCTCTTGCCTGGGACATGACGTCACAGCAAATTCCAACAGCGGAATTTTGTCGTGGTGGTGGGTCAGGTTTGCCCATCCTACGATGCTTCCAGCACATTAGTGGAGTCGCTGCTTTTCTGTATAAATCTGCTTTAGAAGTGCAAAAAGTTTGTGTTAAAATTACAAAATGTAAAAAAAAAAAAAAGTAACATGACGTAAATAATGTAAAAATGTGGGAACTAATGTGCTGGAAGCATCGTTAGGATGGGCAAACCTGACCCACCACCACGACAGAATTCGGTGTGCTCCTCTGGCGAGCCAGTGGAATGTCACCAGGGATTTCTCCCAAGTTAGATGACCTTTGGAAGAGAAACAGCAAATGACTACGTGTGATTTTTCCTTATTTCAAATGCACTGCCTGTTCCCTTACTGCCCGATTGCCGGGCGGTGGTACCGCGTCT